TAATCACTTCAATAAACCAAAGGCAGATTTGATTGAAACAGTAAAGCACGAGCAACGTTAAGAAGATGTTGATGCTTACGTTTGACTACTGAATTCTGCTGTGGGGTATATGCACAAGAATATTGATGGATAATGCCAAGATCATGAATGAGTTTAGGGAAAGCAAGTTCAGGTGCATTGTCACTGCGAATCATCTTAATTGTCAATTGATATTGAGTCTGAATATGCTTCACAAAAGATGGAAAAATAGTAGAAACTTCACTTTTATTACGCATCATATAGATCCAGGTTACACGACTACAATCATCAACAATGGTTAAAAAATACTTGTAACCTTCTATAGATTCTACTGAAAAAGGACCCCAAACATCCAAATGAACAAGATCAAATGGAGCTTTTGACAAACGACTATTTGATGGAAAAGATAAACGTTTCTGTTTAGCTAAGGGACAAATGCAACAATGATCAGAACTAGCAGCTTTACTCAAATGCAGAATACCAGAAAGATGTTGTAACTTGGCAGAAGATGGATGTCCAAGGCGCTGATGCCAAAGAAGACCATCATCATGCAAGGATCCACAGAAATTTGAAGGAGAATTAGCAGTGACTTGAAGAATGTAGAGATTGTTGATGAGAGTTGCCTCTACCAATCATCAAGCCCTGAGTAGACTCCTGAATGATGCAATGATCAGCATAAAAGTGAGCAGAACGATCATCATGTTTAAGCAAACTACTAACACTGATGAGATTAAATCGAAAGAGGAACATGCAGAACATTATGCAATGTCAATGATGAATGAATATGCACAGTGCCTGTGTGACTAATAGATTCTCTAATGCCATTAGGGAGAGAGACTGTAACACCGGACACCGGAAAGGTCTCACTAAACAAAGACAAGTCAGAACAAACGTGAGTCGTGGCTCCACTGTCAATTATCCAAGACCACTGGTAAAGAATTATAAAGAGAAGATAAGCATTGATGTTGAAAAGTAAGGCAATTGTTCTCAAAACGAAGGCTAGAAGAAGGAAAAGGATATTATGAAGATGGAAAAGAGACGATACCAGCAGACGATTCAGCAGCCATATGACCTCCCTCAGTAATAGACGCACGTTGAACGGGAACATGAGACTCAGGAGGCTTAACGTGACTTTGGAGCTGTTGAAGCAAAGTCTGGAATTGATCAGTGTTGAGTTGACTGAGTCAATATTGATCGCATTCGTGGCAGGAGCTGGCAAGTAAAGAGAGAGGCAGTCATCACATTCGCCACTGTGTTAGTCTTCTGAAAAGACTGAGAGTGAGTACGATTCTGATTCTGGCCACGAGACTGCGGAGAGACTGTTGTTGTCCGGAGCTATGTGAAACTTGTGCCCTGGAGGATAGCCATGAAGCTTGAAGCACTTTCTGAATGACATGACCAAGCTGACCACAGTGGGTACAAACCGGACGCTGGCGAGGACGATAGTGTTGTTATACTGAGTAGCAAAAGCAGCATTATCAGCAAGATTCTCAGATGACAAAGATTGAGTATCATCATGAGGCCAGAGTTCTGGAAAACAACATTGTCCTGCCTCGAGCTTGGCTTGATAGACTTCTGGCGTTCATCTTGGCCACCATGTTGAATACATCTTCAAGAGAAGGAATTGGTTTCATCATCAAGATGTGGCGACGAGTTGGCTCAAAAGCTTCATTAAGACCCATCAAGAACTTCATAACTCTGCTTCTCTGTTGTAAAGATTCCCATAGAGCAGCAGCATTACATTCACAGCGACCACACATACACACAGGAAGCTCAATGTAATTCTTATACTCTTCCCAGAGAGTCATCAATTCAGTATAGAAGCTACTAACATCCATAGAGCCTTGTTCAAGAGTGCCTAAACGTTGTTCTATCTCAAATACACGCGGAGCATCATCCTGCTTAAATCTAGCTAGGATGTTCTTCCAAATCGATTCCGCAGTACTCATAAACAACAAGCTCTGAGCGATTTTCTTACTCACCGAGTTCATTATCCAGGTAGCGACCATGTCGTTGCATCGCGACGATCCGCATGTGGCTTTGGAATCGTTCCGTCAATGAAACCCAGCTTGTTACGAACATTCAACGCCATCCGAACAGAGCGACGCCAAGAGTGAAAGTCTGCGCCAGATTGAAGACGATCGGAGACGAAATTAAGCCGGCATGATCGGAACTGTGAAGAAAATACGGATTTTCGTATTGATCCATGAATTGAGGCGGAGCAGGATTCGCAGTCATCAGAAGAAGATTGTGCCGAAAAAAATGAGAAGGCAACAATCAAGAGGCCAACAAAAAAGAGAAATGACGAGAAAGAAGACGACCGAGATTCGGCGTAAAAAGGATGAAATCAGTGACAAAAAAGCAATTGTGAGCTCGGAGAGTAAGCACAAGGTGAGAGACTCATCGATTTGAAGCAATGGAGGGAAGATCCCAAGAGATTTGAGCTGGAATCGAAGGAAATCGCACCGAGAAAGTGCCGAGAAAACACAAGAAAGCGGAAAAAAGAAAATGAGAAAGTTTGTTATTTTCTCTGTGATACCATATTAAATGTGTAATTCATATTTCTCATTAAAGGAAAATGTGTGTACTGTACAAGCATATATAAGCCAAAGGAAACTCTCATCTCACTTATCAAATAAACCGGATTAATAACCGGTCTATACACTCAATAGAAAGGTTTCTACAACACCCACCCGAACTTTCAGAAGGCACAACGATCTCCGTTCAGATCCTCACGACGGGTTTTGGCTGGCGTAACCGACTGTGCCGTATAATTTACCGGCGGAGGTCTGTGTTCTCTGCGAGAAGTTTAAGTCACATTACCTTGGGACACATAACGGGAGGAGCTTATCTTGGCAGACTAATATGGGAACAGCTGATGTCAAAGCGACGTTTTGTAAAGCTCACTGGCATGAGCTAAATGTTTCTGTTGAACTAAGCTTGAAGAAAGCTTGAGCTGCAAGCCAAACCTAATCCTATTGTGATGAGGATTCCTAATGAGTTTAGGACTTAGATTATATTTCGGAGTTATTTAGATACAGAGTCTAATAGGATTAGGATATTGAATGTCTATATAAGGAGATGTCAATGTGTGACATAACTTATGAGTTTAGAGATTGAGAGCTTAGGTTTTTGAGTGAGTTTTCTTAAGCAATAAAGAAGAGTTTCTTTTAATCTTTGAGTTCATCTTTGTGTTACGATTCTACAGTTTTGAGGAGGATTGGTTTGTTGGGAACGAGAAGTTTGCGAGCAAGTTTTATATAGTGAAGATAGGGACTGTGGGGGCGCAGAAGGAGACGGAGCCGAAGAAGTTAGAGTTGAGGAAGTGATATACCTCTATTTTACATGCTTTTTATACTGTTTTAGTATTGTTTTCTAATGGTTTTTGGCAGGTTTTCTATCTAAAAAGGTAGTTTTATTGGATTTATAGCTTAGAGTCTAAACAGGTGAAATGATGCATTTTGGAGCAAAACCATAGATTCGCCTTCAAGCAGCTCCATACCCAAGCATCAACTTTGAAAGGGCCCAGAAAAAGATCTACTCAATGGATTTCATCAAACCAGTTCCCCGCGTGCTCTGAGTGAGTTAACTCTCCAACGCAATTGGATTGGCATCATTTGGATGAGTAGAAGTGAAGATATGATCAAAATAGTGAAGACTGGTCCAGACGGCTTTATCGAGCATTAGCCGCGCACACCGGCCGATCGTGGAACGAACGTACGCGATCGTCCCGCGCATATCCGCATCCCGCCAAGTCCACGGCCGAGCTCACGTCCCGACCCGGAAAGCAACGTCCCGGTCGAGCCGTCCTTAGCTCGCCACCACAAGCCGTGCACGACCGCGCCGCGCGAACAGGAAGGCAACAGCTCGCGGCCGCGCGGCACAACCCATGTACCGCGGCCGACCCATCCGCCGACAGGAAGGCATCGTCCCGTGACCGGCCAAGTTTCATCGGCCAAAACCTATCCATCCGTCCGACCCCGTCGGCCGAACACGAAAACTATCGGCCACGATCGTCCCGACCGTACCGATGGCCGACTACGACCCGATGACGGCCGACCGTCCCGACCGACCGTCCGAACGGTCCGATCGACCCGAAGCCCGTTTCACACGTTTTCACAGCCCGGCTTGACCTAATGCCGCCTCTGAAGCCCTAGCATTATAAATACAACTTTTTAGCCTCTTGAGAGAGAGAGCCGCCCTTGTATCACGTTTTTTTACTTTGAGTTTATTGCAATCATGTTTTCTTCATCTTTATGTGTTATTGCTTTGATCATGTCTGAGTAATCCACTAGTTAGGTTGCTAGGGTTACTAATCAATGAGTTGCTTGCATGATCTTTGATTTCGATGTTTAGCTAGGGATTATCATAGAGTCTTTGTCTCGTCTTGTGCACTTAACTAATGCTGATTGCTTTACCGCGCATCTAGTAATCCGATCTTAGGTTGATTTGAGCCTCGAAAGTGTTGTATCATTCGCCGGACATATTCTTTGACAAGCTAGGTTTCTTAGACTGCGAAAGTTGATTTACTATAACCTAGTGAACTGTATCAGAACCTATTCATTCTAAAGCTTGATTTAATCACCTAGGGACATACCAAAAGTTTAGCGACTAGGTAGATTAACAAAGGAACCGGAGCCTCGAAAGTGGAATGGTTTTATATTCGTGATCTGTGTTCTAGACGGTTCTTAATATCCCAATATCCCTAATCAATTCATCTATCATTGTTTCATTGATCATTGCTTGCTTCTCTGCGATTAGCCCCTGTTGACCTAGCGCTTCTTCCTTATTGATTTACAACCTCGTTTACTTGCTTTTAGTTCACAATTACAACCTCAATCATACTTTTGTTTTAGCTTGATCCAAAATCATAGTTTCAAAGTGTACTCAATAGCCAGTCCTTGTGTTCGATACCCATACTTCCGCGATCTGTGCACTTGCAGAGGTCTAAGAGTTTGGTAAAACCTGACTCACATCAAGTTTTTGGCGCCGTTGCCGGGGACTGCAGCAGTACCTTTGAATCTCGACTAGGATCTAGTCTAGAATCTTTCTTTGTTTTTGCTTTTGCTTTTGCTTTTGAATTTTTCCCTTTTGATTTAGTTTGTTTCCTAGATCTTTTCAGGTGCATGACTAGGAGGTCCAACAAAGACAACCTAGTTGAACATCCAGAGATAGACAAGCTCGAGAAGTTACTTAGGAAGCAAAAAGCCCAAGAGATGGCCGACGAAGCAGCTCGCGCGCACGCCGCCTGAAGTGGCTCGAGCTAAGAAGAAGGAAGAGATCCACCTCCTCCTCCTCCTAATCCACAAGATCCTGCTGGGGATGTCAATGTGCAACCTCAAGCGACATTACAATCGGAGACTATGACTCTGCCGATGCTTTCTTCACGGATAGAAACCCTATCCATCCACCACTTCCTGCAAGGAATGACTATGAGATCAAGCCTCAATCATAGCATTGGTTAGACAGAACCAATTCAATGGCCTTCCAGCCGAACATCCTCTTGATCACATAGAAAACTTTGAAGAGATTTGCAGCACTACTAGATCCAATGGAGTCTCAGCTGACTACTTGAAGTGCAAGCTCTTTTCATTCTCTCTTGGCGACAAAGCTTCAAGATGGTTGAAGTCTCTGCCAGCTCACTCCATTACCACTTGGGATGAGTACAAGGCCGCTTTCATCAACCACTTCTACACCAAGCAAAGATCAGTTTCTGTAAGGAACAAGATCTCCAACTTTCGCCAAGCCACTAATGAATCTTTCTATGAGGCGCTAGACCGATTCAAGGAGTACATTAGGGACTGCCCTAATCATGGTTTCAAGGAGGGAAACCTATGGAATATCTTCTATCGTGGCATAGACCACAAGTACAAGCTTTCATTGGATACTGCAAGCAATGGAAACTTCATGACCAAGACAATTGATGAAGCTAAGGTTCTTATTGAGAATCTTGCAGCTAGTGATTGTAACAATTGTCCTGATTATGACCGCTCAAGCCGCACCACTACTAGCTCCCCTGATGTTTCTCAAATGACTGAACTCAAGAACATGATGGCTCAAGTTCTTAAGGGACAGCTCAAGCATATCAATGCAATAGAAGGGATGAGTGATGCTAATGAAGACCCATCAAGAGAGTGCATGGGAGATTTCTCTAATGAAGCCAATGAAGAAGATGTGAACTACATTGGAAACTACGGATTGGAAACTATGGGAACAAGGGATACAATCCAAGCTATCGCCCAAACCCCAACATGTCTTATAGAAACCCCAATGTGGAGAATCCTCAAGACCAAGTGTATCCTCCAAGGTATCCACAACAACAAAGACCTCCTTACCAATCTCAAGGAAGCCATTTCCAGCCAAGGCAAGGGTATGAGCAGAGAACATCATATCCGCCCAAGGAGCCTTATGCTTCTTCACCAAATCAAGAACCTCCAAACCAACAAGGTGGAAGATTTGAAGGAATCCTCCAACAGATCATGGATGGCCAGAAAAGGAATAGCAAAGAGATGTATGAGAAGATGGACACTTTGTTCAGCAATCTCAATACCAAGTATGATGCTGTTGCCACTCATGTGAAGAAACTAGAGACTCAAGTCACCCAAACCATGGAAGCTGTTAAGAGACAGGAAGCTGAATCCAAGAAGTCCTTTTGCAACTCAGCCGCCATAGAAGAGATTTGAAGATCAAGTACCAGAATGGATGCTTTCAAAACCTACTGTTGATTGCATGATTTGGCCTGAAGAGATATTCCCAGAGAAGAGTCCAACCGAGCTAGGAAAAGGAGACTCTTTCCAAAGATCATCCCCAAGACTGATAACTCAGGGAAGTTTGTTGTTCCTTGTATCATCAAGGGCATTCTTGACTCTCTATGTGACACATGAGCCAATGTCAACATATGTCTAAGAGGATAGCTGACAAGATCAGCCTCACCAAGATTCAGCCATCATCCATCTCCATCAACTATGATGATTCATTCTCACAAACCCCTTATGGCTTTGTGCCTAATGTGATGGTGCAAATCGGAAATTGCTCTATCCTACCGACTTTCAGATTGTGGAAATGAGAGAGAGTAGCCATAGACCTCTCATATTTGGTACCCCTTTCCTGTCTATTGTGGGCGCCATATTTGATTTCCCAAATCAAAGAATCTCTTTCAACAAGTTGAACAAGGGTATGTTCTTCCCTATGTGTTCAACAAGAAACTCTTTTGTTGACATGGTTCAAGAGGAGAAAGTTACTTTGAAGCCACCCAAGAAGGAGAAACTGAAAACATTCAAGGAAGATCCCATTCCTATGCCCAAGCAGCTTGCCACTCAAGCAAGGAGTAAGACTAAGGCCCTACACCAAAACCGCCCAAGGGATCATCCAAGATTGAAAATGAGGCCAAACCTAGAAGGAAGGTGCGAAAGCCTCGTTCTGGTGAAGGAGCAACATGAAGCGAATGAATCTCAAGCATATCAATGCAATAGAAGGGATGAGTGATGCGAATGAAGACCCATCAAGAGAATGTATGGGAGACTTCTCTAATGAAGCCAATGAAGCTTCTCTTCCCAAAGGAGCTTATTGATGAGAGTCTAGAAGGATTCAAGGAGAAAGTTACAAGAACTCTACAACTTTTTCCTAAGGCAATTGTGCCAAGGGACATTCATGGAGAGATTGTCTATCCAGCTGTGAATCACCCACCAGATACTCATTGTGAGGAGAAAAGACTTGGAGGATCAAGGATGCCTCTAATCTCCATCTTCTCCTGAGCACTAAGCCTTAGTCAAGCTAAAGACTTAAAACAAACACTACATGGGAGGCAACCCATGAGGTACTTTTATTTTTCTTTCTTTAGATTTCTTAATTTTTGTTTTGTTTTGTGTTTTCTTTGTTTTAAGATAGGATAGAAAGAGAAAAAGTGTGAAAAACACAATCCGGGTCGAAAACATCGGCCGCAGACGCGCAAAAGAAATTCTGGCCGGTCGATCCGGGAAACGTACGCTTTCCCTCGGCCGGATTTCTTGTTCGTCCGCGAACTTGGCCGACCAAACCGCACGAACGGGACGAAAACCATCGGCCATCGACCCGAATTCCCTCGGCCAAGGTAAGTAATCTTTTTCAATATATTCAAACCGTAAGGGATCAGGTCTTCCCTTTTCCTATCCCTGATTCTGCAAGTGCACAGGTCAGAAGTAGCAAACGGGTATCGAACACAAGGAGCAGATAAGTACACTTCGAGTATTGCAAGTCTAATATAGCTAGAGAACAAGTATGATTTGGGGTTTTCAACTGTGTAGCAAAGTAAATCAAACAGCAGTTTAAACAGTTTATAAAAATCAATTAAAGGAAACGCTAGGCAATGAGAAACTCGCAGAGATTCAAGGTTAACAAGATATTAGAAGGTTTCGCTAGGGTTTGCGCTATCTAGAACTCAGGTCACGATTGTATGATCTTTCCACTGTTGAGGCTCCGACCCCTTTGTTAATCTACCTAGTGGCTGAACTTTTGGCATGTCCCTAGATGATTAAATCAAGCAATAGTTCGTTCGAGACCCAATTGTTCACAACCCCTCATTGATCAACTTTCGCAGTCTATGAAGTTTTGCTCACCAAATACTTAGTTCAGGTTATATAGCAAGCTTTTGGGGAGTATATGAAACCTAAGATCTGATGCTAGTTGATCAGAAAAGCAAGCAGCAATGAATTCAAGCAGAGATGAAGATGCGATATAGTAAACCCTATGCGATTTCTAACAACCTATCAAACCATGAACTCTTTGATAGATCTCACAACCTAACTAGTGAATTACTCAGACATGATCAAAGCAACAACACAAAGATGAAGAAAACATGATTGCAATAAAACTCAAAGTATGAAATCAAAATACAAGGCGGCTCTCTTTTCACAAGAGGCTAAAAAGCTATATATATAGTGCTAGGTCTTAGAGGCGGCTTAGGGTTAAGCCGGGCCGTGAAAATATGTGAAACGGGCTTCAAAACGGGCTTCGGGTCGACCGCGGCTTTGGACGGTCGGTCGGCCGGATAATCCAGTCGTGGTCGTGTCGGAACAGTCGTGGCCAGATGGTTTCTCGATCGGCCGCTGAGGTCGGACGGGTAATGGATTGGCCGATGCTTTCTCAGCCGGACGCGGGATGTGGCTTCCCGGCTCAGATGGCGCCATCGGCCGTGGTACGTGAGATAGGTCGCGCGGCCGCAAGGCGTTGCTTCCCGGCTCGCGCGGCATGGTCTGCGCCGCATGGCATTGAGTGGTGGTGGCTTGGCCGACCGCGGGACATCTTCCCGGGTCGTGATGCGTACTCGGCCGGATGGATTGAACTTTGGCCGAGACTTCAGACGGATGGATTTGGTTTTGACCGGCCGCGGTTTCTCGATAGAGCCGCTGGACCAGTCTTCACTCTTTTGGTTATAACTCCTTTTCTACTCATCCAAATGAGGCCGTTCCAGTTGCGTTGGAAAGTTAACTCACTCAGAGCACGCAGGGAACTGGTCTTGATGAAATCCATTGAGTAGATCTTTTTCTGGGCCCTCTTAAAGTTGATGCTTGTGTATGGAGCGGCTTGAAGTGCAAATCCTATGGTTTTGCTCCAAAATGCATCATTTCACCTGTTTAGACTCTAGACACTATAAACACAGTAAAACTACCTTTTTAGATAGAAAACCTGCCAAAAACCATTAGAAAACAATACTAAAACAGTATAAAAAGCATGTAAAATAGAGGTATATCAACTCCCCAGACTTAGATCTTTGCTTGTCCCCAAGCAAACAAAATCTAAATCCGTGAAAGAGGTTTGAAAACGTGGAAACTCCCTTGCTCCTTTGAATATCCTGTGAAGGGTTCCTCTTCCTGTATTCCACTAAGAACATAGGCAACATAAGGTTAGCTTCACATACACCCTGCAAGTTTAGCGAACAATACCAACCCAACTAGTCTCATCCAGCAATCCAAACTCTCTATTGCTAACCTCTTGCATAAATTTAAAGCGTGAGTTCTTTATCAAGGGGACATCGATCAATTGAGCTTGTTCTTACCCACTTGATCTTCTCCAAGATTGTCTTTGAAGTGCAATGAGTTCTTTTCCTCTCTCTTTCTCACATCCAGAACTTTGAAAGGTCAATTTCTCCCTACTTTTCTAGGGTATCATTTTATTTTTTCTATTGACCCTTCTTTCAATCCACAGGATAAGTCTTTCTTGTTCCTGTTTGAAGTGCAAGGTATTTGATCGCGGGATCAGGTCTTCCCTTTTCCTATCCCTGATTCTGCAAGTGCACAGGTCAGAAGTAGTAAACGATTGAGATCGAGCTAGGGCAAACAGTATAGAGTTGGTTGAGTGCAATAAAGTAAAGGCATGCAAGTAATTAAAGAGAATGAATTCAATAGGAGAGAGGGCTAAGCAATAGGATAGTCTTAGATAAGCAATTCATGAAGCAAGAAATCAATCAATTAGGGTTACTTGCAATTAGGTGCCAATCTAGAACTTGAAACACTATGGTATGATCTTCCACTGTCGAGGCTCCGACCCCTTTGTTAATCTACCTAGTCGCTAAACTTTTGGTATGTCCCTAGGTGATTAAATCAAGCATTAGTTCGATTAAGTTCAATTGTTCACAACCTACAAGTAAATCAACTTTCGCAGTCTAAAAGAGGTTGCCCACCAAATACTAGTTCAGGCGAATGATACAGCACTTTCGAGGCTCAAATCAACCTAATCATATGCTAATTGGCCAGATTAACAACAAGCATTAAGTATAAGCAAAGATGAAGATTATAAGTAAAACCCTAATTGTGATCGATCATCAAGCATACATGAATGCTATCCTTTGACTTCCTATCACTTAACAAGTAAACTACTCAGACATAGAGAAGGAAAACAAATTCATATTCATAAGAACAGAGATTCGAATCCTCTCTAGAAAGAGAACAAGCAAGAACAAAGTAAAAGCAAGCAAAACTTTATTAAAGATGTAAAGTATAATGTGGTCTCTCTCCTTCTTGAGTTACAAGGCTAAAAAGAAGTATTTATAATGCTCTAAGTATGAAAAGCGGCTAAACCTAATCTAGCTAGGTCGGCGCCGGCTTTGGGCTTGAATTGTGCGGATTGGGCTTCAAAAACGGCTTCGGGTCGACCGCGGCGTTCGGACGGTCGTGCGGGACGGTCGGCCGGATAATCGGGTCATGGCCG